AGTTTTTGATAATTATGAATAAAGCTGCTGTAAACATGATGCATGTTTTTATGTAGACAACAGTTTTCAACTCTGGTAAACACCAAGGAATACAATTTCTGGATTGTATGGTAATGTTATGTTTAGTTTTGTAAAAACCCTAAAAATTATCTTCCAAAGTACCAATACCATTTTTCATTCCTACAATCAACGAATGAGAGTTTTTGTTGGTCTGTATCTTTGCCAGCTTTTGGTATTGTCAGTGTTTTGGATTTAAGCCATTTTAATAGGTGTGTACTGGTATCTTATTGCTATTTTAGTTTGCATTTCACAGATGACATAAAATGTGGAGCATTTTTTATATGCTTATTAGACATCCATATGTCTTCTTTAGGGTCTTATCTTTTCTGAGCTTTGACACATTTTTAATTGGATTGTTTGTTTTCTTGTTGACTTTTAAGGGTCATTTGTGTATTTTGTATTCTAGTCCTTTATCAACTGTTCCTTGCAAACATATTTTCCCAGTCTGTTTCTTGTTTTTCATTCTTTGAACAATGAGAGTTTTATTTTTATTGAAGTCCAGCTTACCAAATTTTTTCTCATACATGCTTTTGATTCTGTACCTTAAAAGTCATCACCAAACTCAAGGTCACCTAGATTTTCCTCTCTGTTATAGGAGTTTTATAGTTTTTTATTTGTACATTTACGTCTATTTGTATTCTGAGTTGATTTTTATAAATGGTCTTAAGTCTGTGTCTAGATTTTTTCTTTTGCTTATGCGTAGTTCTAGCAGTTTCTTGAAAAGACTGTCCTCTCGTTGTTTAGTTATTTTTGCTCCTTTGTCAAATCTCAGTTGAGTATATTTATGTGGGTCTATTTCTGGACTCTCTATTCTGTTCTTTTGACTTATTTGCCACTCTTCTGCTAGTAACAGTGTTTTGATTACTGTAGTTTTACAGCAAGTGTTGAAGTAAGGTATTGTGAGTCCTGTCGTGTTGGCTGTCCTAAATATTTTGCCTTTCTATGTGAAGTTTAGAGTCAGTTTGTTGATATCCACAAGATATCTTGCTGGAATTTTGATTGAGATTAAATTGATCAAGGTGGAAAGAATTGACCTTTGACAATATTAGCCTTTATATATACATGTACTTAGGTCCATTATTTAGTGCTTTGATTTTTTTTATCGGAATTTTATAGTTTTCCTCTTATGTATAGATCTTGTACATATTTTGTTACATTTATACCTAAGTCTTTTTTCCTTTGGTTGCCACTGTAAATAGTGTTACATTTTTAATATCAAATTCTACTTGTTCATTGCTGCTATATAAGAGATTGACTGTTGTATGTTAACATTATATCTTGCTACCTTTCTATAGTAGCTTATTAGTTCCAGTAGGGTTGTTTGTTTTTTTTTTTTGCTGTTGATTCTTTGCATTTTTCTACATAGACATGCATATCATTTGTTAACAGACTTATTTTTTTTCTTTTCCAAGTTGTATATCTTTTCTTATCTTATTGCAATGAATAAGACTTCCAGCACAATGTTGAATAGGAATGATGAGAAGATAAGTTCTTGTACTTGTGGCTGAATCACTCCAGTCTCTGCCTCCATAGTTACATCCCTTCCTCTTCTCTACTTGCCAGTGGATTTGGGCCCCCAAAGAATTCAGAATAACCTTATAAAAAACTTTAATTATATCTACAAAGACACTTTTTCCAAGTAAAGTAATATTCATAGGTTCTGAAGATTAGGGGATGGACTTATCTTTTGGTGTAGGGCACTGCTCTGTCTTCATCAGGTTAAGAAGGTTCTCTTCTGTCACTATTTTGTTGAATGTTTTTATCATGAAAGTGTGGATTTTTTCAGAAGTTTCATTTTTTGTATATCCCATATATTTTGATATCTTTATTTAATATCTGTTTTACTTGATATTATTAAAGCCACTTCAGCTTATATTTATCATCAGCATGATATATTTTCCCTTTAATGTATTCATATCTTTCAATTTGAAGTGTGTATAGTTGAAACCTATTTTTCTTTATCTCATAATCTCTTTTACTCATGTGTTTAATCCCATAATTTATTTTTAAAATAGTTGAATTTATTTCTGACATTTTAGTTTTATATGTCTCATGTCTTTTTGTTACTCTCTTACTGCTTTTTTTTTGCATTAGGTGAATTATTTTCTAGCATAATGTTTTAATTCTTTAAATTATTTTTAATACGATTTTAAAAGTTAGTTTCTTAGTATTGTTTCTAGGGTTTATTATATGTTATAATTGTTGGAATAAACTTCAGATTTAAACTAATTTGATTATAGTGAGAAATAGAAATATTACTTCTTCAAAACTATTCCCTCTATCATTTTTCTTTGTAGTATTGTTTTATATATATATAACATATATATAAATAAAATGGATATATATTGCACACTCAACCTTACACTATTTTAATTTTTACTTTATATCATTTTATGTCTTTCTTTCACATCCTCACCAGCATTTGTTGTGTTTGTTTTGAAAAAAGCTTTGATTTCTTTCTCTGTGTATTGCTATTCCCAGTATATGTAAGATGGTGCTCTTAATGGTATTCCACATTTTTCAGAGGCCCTGTTTATTTTATTTTCTGTTCTTCAGATGGTATAATCTGTATTTTTGTCTTCAAGTTCACTGATTCTTTCTCCTGTCTGCTTTTTACTATAGTAAAATATTTTAACTTCAGTTACTGTACTTTGCAGTTTCAATATTTCCATTCATTTTCCCCATTATTTCTATCTCTGCTGATATTTTATGTTTGATAAGGTATTGTCATATTTTTATTTATTTCTCTAAAATTGTTCTCTTTAAAGCTTTGGACATTTTTATAATAGCTGCTTTGAGGTCTTTTTCACTATATCTGACATTTGGCTTCCCCTCAAAGGGAAATTGTTGCCCTCTTAATTTTATTGTTTGGATGACACATTCCTATTTGCATGTTGTAGTTTTTCTTAAAAATGAGACATTTTAGAAAATGTAGTGGAGTAACTCTGTATCTCAAATCCTTCTCCTTCAACAGGATGCTTGTTATTTTGTTTGATAACTTGGCTGGACTCTTTTACAGAAATCTATTTCATCCTCCAGTGTTGCTTCTCAGAGGGTTTGGGAGACACACACTCATCCTGGGATGACAGAGTTTTAGTAGGGCTGACTTTTTTCTGAGCTTTCTTTCTTTTGTTACATATCCTGCTGTTGGCTTGCACTAATTTTTGGTTGACTTGTTTGGGCTCCTTTACAGAGTTGTCTTTGAAGCTAGTCTTTGAGGTTTGTTCTGATCCCAGGAGGACTTTTTTTTCTTTTTCTCTTTCCCATTAGCTCTCTCTGATAGATTCCTACCTATGGTTTTAGCATTTTGTCTTTATGCAGCTAACACCTGTTTCTTCATTTCTTGCAAGCAAAATCTCCATTGTATCTGAGTGTGTGTTTAGACTTGAACTTTCCCAGCTTCTGTTCCAAATAAAGTTTCTTTAAGAGAGTTTTAGAGGATTCTGTTTCCTTAGCTTGCTTCTCCTGGGGAAAACCTCTGTGCCACTGCTTGGGTGTTGTAGGTGTGTGGGTTTAGTGACCTGGTTCTCTGTAAAGTGATTCCACCCAGACCCTTTCATGCTTTTCCCTGGAGGAGAGCTTATGTAACCCGGAGCCAGAGGGCATCAGTAGTTCTGGCAACTTAACTCTTGTAGTGAGCTATCATTGGCTTGGACTAGGAGCAGAGGGGATAACGCTTTGTTTTCTTGGCTTCTACCTGGGGTAGAAATCCTGCATTCTGAATTGGTTGTGTGTTTCAGGTGAAGGAATGAAGAGAAGTAACAGAGTAATGAATCTAATGCCATGCACTCCTGATACTGTCACCAAAATGTAGTAGATATTCTTGAGTAAATACTTCTTTACTTACTGATGTTCAAAATAAAATTTTGAGAGACTCTACGTGTTCTGAGACCTTAAAGAAAGTAATTTTGCTAGCTAAAGTTCTTTCCCTGGAGAGAGTACTTGTGGAATTCCGCATATTGCTGTTCTGGAAGTCAGTCTCATATTCTTGAGGCACTAAATAGAGTTGATACAGTGTTTTAGAGCCACTACCTATACCCATAGTAACCATTCTGTAACTAACTGTGCCTACACTCTTTTTTTACCAGAAAGTTATTCAAAGTAGTCATGAAATATTGATTCATACTGTCATACATCACTTACTGCAATTGCAATTTAGAGCATATGTGTATAACATCTTATTTAAGTTATACTTTAAAACAACATTTATGTTAATTTTATTGTTTCTCAAAAATACAGTTTCATTATATTTTTAAATCATACACAAAAATACAGATGTATCTAAAATCAATTTTGAGCAAAACAACCTACACACAAGACTACATTGTATATATAATTCCATTAGTGTAAAGTAAAAAACCCTAGTGAAACAAATCTATGTTATCAGAATTAGAATAGTAGTAATGTTTTATTTCTGATCTATTGATGTTTACTTAGTTGTGTTCATTTTGTGAAATGTTACGGAGTTTTAAAATTATGTTCTCTGCACCTTTGTGCATGTTATATCTAAATAATAAGTTAGAAAGTTTATTAAGGGGTACATATCAGTTCTGTGTTTTCACCAAATGCAATTCAGAGTAAATTTACCATATTTTAACTTTTTATTTATTTGGTACTTAGAACTGATGAGGTTTTGATCTTCTACTTTTAAGAAGACTTGTTTCCTACCTTTATAAATGAAAAATAATTTAAAATATAAATTATGAGTATTAACAATGTCTCTATTGTATTTCCTCAAAGCATCTTAAAATATTGAAAATCTTCAGTTTTTTAAAATATTGAAATTTAGAAGTAATTTCTGAGTTGTTAAAAACACTTGCCTTTTTCCCATAATTCCAGAGAAAATTCTATATGCAAATTCAACCCTTTATATAATATATATATAAGGTCAGGGAGGTCTTTTTATCCTTTGTAATACATTTTTAAATTTTATTCTGTAGGACTATTTTGAAAGAAAGTGGGTTTGCCAGATACCTTCATTCAGCTGTTCTTATCAATGGAGCTATGCTTATTTTTGGAGGAAATACCCATAATGACACTTCCTTGAGTAACGGTGCAAAATGTTTTTCTGCCGATTTCCTGGCATATGACATAGGTATGTATCTGTTAGGATTGTACAAAGTAGGAAATAACAGAAATTTTCCATACAGAAATTCTCAAGCACATTAATTGACAGTATGTATATATGTCATTTTAGAGATTATGAATGACATTTTCTATAATTTCAACACAATAATAGTATAGAGCTAAGAGAACACAAGTGCTGAAGTGAGTTAGTAGTAGAGATAGATAATAGAGAAGTCCTTTTGAAGCTTTTTAAATATTGTATCCCTATGTGAACAGTATGGCAGTCTACTGTGTTTGTTGCTGTATTTGTTTTGATAATGGATAGATAATGGAATACTGTCAAATTATGTAAATTTACAAATAGTAGGAATGCAAACACTTTAGATATAGTAGGGATGAGCCAAACTGCACTTATATAAATGACAGCAGGTGAGGCATCAGTGGCTTATGTCTGTAATGCTAGCTGCATGGGAGGCTGAGATAGGGAGAAACACTGTTCAAGGCCAGCCATGGCAAATAGTTTATGAGACTCCATCTCAAAAATAATCAGAGCAAAAATGGACTGGAGGTGTGGCTCCAGTGGCAGAGCGCCTGCTTTGCAAGCACAAAGTTCTGAGTTCAAACTCAAGTCCAACACACAAAAAATTAATAAAATACATCAGATATATTTACTAAGAATTAGAATCTGATAAAACTGGAGAAAGGTGTATGGAGAAAGAAATAAGATTATGAGACAAGTGGAAATCCAGAATGTACCCAGAGAACCAGAAATACATTTGTGTCATTTGCATAATTTTAATTATATAATATATAGTCATTGATTTCTGAATATTTCAATGAATGAATTCTTTGAAACACTTAATTTATTCTCCATGAAATCGTTGTAGTGAAAACAGTTCTGCTCTATGGATCATGGTCTTGATAAAACGTATCTGATATTTAAAATATATTTAGTAGAGCACCTTTTATTGATGGTGCAAATAAAGTAATATGTCAAATTCAAAGCTCATTGGAAACATTTTGACAAGTATAAATAAGGAAGACCACAGACTAACACATGTCATAAATGTAGGAAGTGTACTTTTTCTCTTAAACATCATAAATGTATATAATCTGCTTTGGTAATTTATTTTCAGTGGGAGAATATGAAGAAAATTATGACAATTACAAAGCACTTTGATTGTTGTACTATTATGTTTGTTTGAGAGGAAATTCTCAGTAATGTGTCAGAAAAGCTTGCTGAGGTAAAACATTAGAGGTTTTTGTTTCAGAAAGAAAGAGATGAAGAAAGAGATTAGATTACTAGGAGTCTAATTACTACAATTCCTTTTAAGTGCTAGGTACTATGCCAAAGGATTTATATTCAAAATCTGGAATCTCTCTATGGCTTTGTAACAAGGTGTTATGTCCCATATTTTCAGAAGATTAAGCATAAAAGAGTAACAAGAACTTGTCCAAAGTTATGCAGGTAGTAATTAGTAGATCTAGCTTTTGTGATCCCAAAACCTTGTACTCTTTCTACTTGACTGCATCATACTGATTGGCTGGGTCCACTGTATGCTCTTAACATCACATGCATTATCAGATACTTTATGTTTAGTAATGTTTATTTCTTGGTGTTGTGGATAGGTAGGAGTATACATATAAGTTTCATTTTTTCAAATAAAAATTTAAAGACTGGAGGAAGAATAGCATATTGTAAATTTTAACAGGATTTTTTCCACCTGTGCTAGTACAGATAACAAAAACATAAAGATGACCATATAGCTCAACATAGGATAAAAGCGTCATCTAGTTCAATTATTTATATGTAGTTCCCAGTAAAGTTCTCCCATATAATCTGTGTTTATCTTGTGGGTTGGCAGCATTAAATGTTGGAATATTTTCTTGAGAAGAATATTTTTCATACAAAAAAAGTGTCTTTCAAAATCATTATTGTTCTGATGGAGTTTATTTTTGTGGAAATAAATATAGATTTTGTATAAAGCTAGGAAATAAAATCTTTTTTTGAAAAAATACCATGTTGCTAATTTATCTCTTCAGTAAAGTATACCAGGACTTTCTTTTTTTTTTTTGGGCATATTTAACTGGAACACTTCTGAGGACTTAGCTGTTTACTTTGTGTTACATTATTTGTAAACAAATAGGAATATTTGTGCCAGTTCTAATTTTTCATTGCTGTAAAATGTACAGTTTTAGCCTTCTACTATAGTAAATTTCATAAAGTAATCATCGTTCTTCTTTGGGCTTATTACCTTGCCTTCACAGTTCTCACTATATTATGCATGGTAGATATAGGTGGCATATGCTGGTGATATTCATATATGGCTATATATTAGAGTCCCCTGTGAGGATTGTTGGGAAAAATATAGCAAGCCTATATAATCAGAATTTTTGAGATTAGTCACTGGGCTTCTATGCTTTCAGAAATGACTAAAGTGCAGTTGGTAATAGAGCCAGAGCTAGGGAATGGCTCTGGATTGACTATAATATATAGTACTACACATGCTAGTTCTAAATGTAGCTTGAACAATTTGAAAACCTTATTTTCTTATTATTGTCATGATATTATTACTGCTTTCAGAAAGCCACCATGATACCCATTTCAATATTAAAAAGATCTTCCTGGTAAAGGTAGTCCTCTATCAGAATTCAGATAAAATTCTGAAACAAGATGAAAAGCACCTTTTTAATTACATTTTTTTCTTCATAAAGATAATTGAAACATGAAAATGTAATTTCCTGAGTTAGATTATTTCAGAATTAAGTAAAGAGTAGGATTTGTATGAAAAATGTATCTTGTACAAAGCAGAACAGCTGAACCTTCAAATCAGATTCAATTAATAAGAGTTTTAAAAATACATTCCCTGAGCATGATAGTTTACTTATGACATTAATTTATTAGGAGGTAATTATTTAGCAACAAAATCAGTAAAAACTGAAAAATATTTCCATATTTGAAGAAGTAATATTTTAATTGGTGATGAATAATAAGATACATTATTAATTATATAATTAATAATTACATATAATACATTGTTAATTATCTATAATTAATAATATAATATGTTAATTATAATTACAGTAGAGTTACTTGACATACTTTTAATACATCGCATAACTAGTTTATGAAGCATAGCATACATGATTTTGTATAGTACTAAGGAATGATATGTACATATGCATATAGAATGGATACAGTTTTATAAGGCATGTAATTTCATGGCAAAGTCATATTCATATTAAATCATCTAATTAATTTTCTGGAACACTCCAACAAAATCCTGAAAATTCCAGTTTGCTTGCTTTTCATGTTTATAATTATTTTCATTTTCTGGAGGTTGTCTTGTTAGTTTCTGTCTCTGATAATCAATATTTCTCCATGCCTTTCATTAAATTCTCCAGTCTCTTCTACAGTGAAAATGCACCACTTGCCTAGCCACTTTAAACAGAAAGTTTGTTTCTTTATAGGTCAGGAAAATCCTTAAAATTATTCACATCTTTTTCTATGAATTAGCCAACTATTGATTGTTTTGAGCTATATTGTATTCTTTATTCAAGGTATTCTTTTTTCCCCCCTCTGGTGTTATATAGAAGAAATAGCAGTTTACTCTTTTTGAAAAATAAACACCAATAAGTAAAAGAAAAAGTTACCTTTCACTTTGAGAAAAGAGAGAACGAACATTTATCTAATGTTTCCTGTATTACTTGGCACTTTGTGCATGCTTTATAAAGTAATACTTATAACACTTATAACATCTATGTTGTGTGTATTATGATATTAAGTTTATACAGGAAGACACTGTGGCTTACCACTATTAAACTGAAAGTCGTACAGGCTATAGAATGGTATATTCAGATTGTGAAGTAAAGTCTGAATTAAGTCTTTTGATTCTACCATTATGCTATGATGCTGTTTTTTCCTGATCTAACAGGAAAAAAATTGAATAGTGTTTTAGTTTGTAAGAGGGCATAAAACTTATTAGTGTAATAAGACACTCAAAAATAGTTTTATCAGTAGATTTAATCATATTTTAAGGTATATTTGAATTTTATTATGCCTGCCCTTTTCCACAAATTGAGAAAATAGTGACTTCAACATATAAAATCAAGGAGAAAGAAATGAGTAATGAACAATAAATTTCTATTTTAAGAAGTCTTCAAGAATTTTGAGAGATTGTTTTAGCTACAGAAATTGCAAAATACAGATTCTTGAGAGAAAATATGCACTGAAATGTAAAAAATTAATTAAGTAACTTATTTTGGTGATACTGGAGTTTGAATTAAGAGCCTTGATCTTGTTAGGCAGATGCTCTAGTACTTGAGGCCACTCCCCCAGCCATTTTTTGTTTTAGTTATTTTTCAGGTAGGGTCTTATATTTTTTCTGGTGCTAGTCTCAAACTGCACTCTCTCTCCTAGCTGGAGTCACAGACGTGCACTACCATTCCTGGCTTTTTGGTTGAGGTAGGTCTTGCTAACTCTCCCTGGGCTATACTTGAATCACAATCCTCTTGATCTCTACTTCATGAGTTACTGGGATTACAGCTGTGATCTATCCTTCCTACCTTTGAAAGGAGTTTTTAGAGGTCTTAATCAAACCTTTGAGTGAAGACAGGAGAAACCAGTCATGCATATAGAATAAAAAATTTCAAATAATATTAGCAAATTGAATACAGTGATGTTTCAAAAGTGTAATAAATTATGATCAAGTAGGATTTATTCTAGAAATTCAATTATGATTATCAGAATATTTATAAATATAATTTATTATACTAAGATTATTTCCTAATGCCAACAGGAAATATCATTTTATGTTAAGACGCTATAAAATTATCAGCTGCACATGGTGCTTCATGCATATAATCAGTGTACTCATGATATAGAGGCAGAAGGATTACAAATTTGAGCCCAGCCTGGGCTACAAAGGCCAGCCTGGAAACGCTTGTGAAACTCTTAGTGAAATCTTGTCTCAAAAACAAAACAAAACCCAAAACCTCTTGGAATACTGTATAATCATTCTGATTAAG